GACAAGACTTGTTCAAGTTAGCACAATGTAAATGGTGCTGGAATGTGAACCGGGACCTCGGGAGATCTAGAGCTGGCTACTCCATTGCCAAAATTCTGTGGCCTCTTTAGCCAGTGGGGTCTAAAGATGGAGAACTGTAGTTCTTTGCTCCCAGAGAAGGGCATCTCTACGAGGCCCATACTGTTAATTTTTCCTATCCCAACGTGGCAGGAGACCCACAGCTCTTTGCCTGTTCCCCCTAGGCTGGAAGAGAATGAGGGCTCGGGAGGTTGGCTGCAGCTTAGAGGGGAGCGTCTTGGATCCGAGAGAGTCCCATCATCTTGAAGTCGGGCGCCGTCCCTGCCTCTGGAGAGACAGGGGTCCGAGTCAGGGTGAAATCGGGAATCCAGGCTGCAATCTTAGCTGCTTTCGGCCCCAGACGCCCCAGGCTGGACAGAGTCAAAGAGAATCCGGTACTAGGTGTGCTCCGGGCGCTCCCCAGTGCTGCGTGCTCGGCCCCAGCTTTTTAAAAAATTCCGGGGCCGCTCGGCGGCGCTGCGATTGGCCGCGGTCGGGTAACCTCTATGCAAATGAGGCCGCGCAGCCTCCGCGTCGCCCGAGACCCGTGGAGTTGGCAGGCGAGGAAGAGACTTAGGCACCGGGGCTGGGCGGGCTCACCCAGAGCCGGGCCGGCAGGGACCCGCGCACGGCGGTCCGGTGCCTGCGCGTCCTGGCTCTGAAGGGACTCCTCGCCAGCCTCGTAGCCCCCTCCCCTCGCCTTTCCTCCTGCCCCTCCCCCTCGCCTGCCTGCCCGCACCACCTTCCACCCAGACCCGCTCTAAAGGGAGTTCTTGGTTTCCTCCGATTTCTTATGAACCCAGGATGGGCAGCAAGGAAGATGTGGGGAAGGGATGTCCGGCGGCCGGTGGCGTCTCCAGCTTCACCATCCAGTCCATCCTGGGCGGGGGCCCTTCCGAGGCACCGCGGGAACCCGCCGGGTGGCCAGCCAGGAAACGCAGCTTGTCTGTGTCCTCGGAGGAGGAGGAGCTGGACGAAGGCTGGAAAGCGCCGGCTTGTTTCTGCCCAGATCCGCACGGCCCCAAGGAGCCAAGCCCTAAGCACCATCCCCCCATCCCTTTCCCTTGCCTGGGTAAGGATCGCACGTCGGGAGTCTGTGCGTGAGCCTATGCGGTGTGTGCGTACCGGAGACTCGGGAGCTCGGGCCACAGCCGGGCTACTCGGGGTCCAGGTCAAGGGGAGGGGGACTACAGACCAGTGTTGCCTTCTCTCAAGGTCCGGCGCTAGGGAGAAGTAGAGAAATATTGGGGGCGTTTAGGGAAGACTGTGTTGGAACTGGAGTGGGCCAGGAACTCTGCGGACCGCACACTCGGTGCTGGCCAGAATTCTTTCGCACACGGGGTACTTTCTTTCCTGACTTGAGTTCTGCAGATCCGGTGTAGGTGTTGTCTGCTCTTCAGTCTCTTTAGGTCTTTTTTCTTCTCTCGGTCTTTTCTTGAAGTGATTAGTACTCTAAAATGATTGGCAGTGGTGCGTTTTAGAGAGGGTTCCTCTTGACAACAGCTGACAGAGGAGAGCCCAGGAGTTAGTCTTTAACCTGACTTCCAAAGAAACGGCCTGGAAAATGATGTCACCATATAAAGCTCAGTTCTTGCAAGATAAAAATCATCTTTTAAAAATGGCGTTAATGTCCCCACTTCAGATCTGTTACCACCTATACTTATTTTATAAGACTGGGAGCGGAGACCCTCAGACTTGTATTATATGGGACCTTCTTCTGTTGCTTTAAAAGGCCGAGGCTCTAGACCTTGGGTGCTAACAAGATGCAGCAGAAAAGGAAAGAGTTGGTAATAAGGGGGCCAAGGATGCAGGCTTTGGCCAACCTCCTGGTCCTGGAAAGAACTGAGAGCATCAACTCCAAGGTCATTCTCTTTGTGCTTACTCTCCAGGTACCCCCAAAGGCAGCGGAAGCGCAGGGCCTGCGGGCTCGGAGCGCACGCCTTTCCTTTCTCCTTCTCACTCGGACTTTAAAGAAGAGAAAGAGAGGCTCTTGCCGGCGGGCTCGCCCTCTCCGGGGCCGGAACGGCCTCGGGATGGTGGTGCGGAACGGCAGGCCGGGGCGGCCAAGAAAAAGACGCGCACCGTCTTCTCCCGCAGCCAGGTGTATCAGCTCGAGTCCACCTTCGACATGAAACGCTACCTGAGCAGCTCGGAGCGTGCCTGCCTGGCCTCCAGCCTGCAGCTCACCGAGACCCAGGTTAAGACTTGGTTCCAGAACCGCCGCAACAAGTGGAAGCGGCAACTCTCGGCCGAACTGGAGGCGGCCAACATGGCACACGCGTCGGCGCAGACTCTCGTGGGCATGCCGCTGGTGTTTCGGGACAGTTCACTGCTGCGTGTGCCGGTGCCGCGCTCGCTCGCCTTCCCGGCGCCGCTCTACTACCCCAGCAGCAACCTCTCGGCCTTACCGCTCTACAACCTGTACAACAAGCTTGACTACTGAGCCGCTCGCTGGCTGCAGCGTCCCTGGCTGCCTGCAGCCGTCTGCACACCCAGGCGCGGGCGGCGTCCTTCCCAGGGCTCCGCAGCAGAGCGTCGCGTGTTCAGAAGTATTAAGAAATACACCATGTGTATTCGTTATGTCTTATTTATGGCCTCTTCCCTACTTTGTTTGTTTGTTTGTTTCGGGTATTTATCTGCATTCCACATGCCAGAACACCTGCTTTCTACACAAAACCAAACCAAAACGCGTTTGAAAACTCTTTTGAAAGGGGAGAGTCTCGGGTGGTGGCGAGAAAGGCAATTTTGGCTAGGTAGGTTTTGGCTGGTAGCAAGAAAAAAAATCAGAAGAACACCAACAAAACCGGATAATCTTTTCCTCATTTATACACCTGTATATACATATGTGTGTGCGTGTGTATGTGTGTGTATAAGGACACAGGCTCAGTCAAGCCGAGCCCACTGGGGCCTTCGTCATTGAACTAATCACCTCTCTTCATTCCCTTCATCTCGAGGGGTGAATCTGAAAAAAAAAAAAACCTTCATCTTGAGGAGGGTACAGATCTGTAAATATTTTTAAAGAGAAAAAAAAATAAAACGTTTTAAACATGGTTGCTAACTTTGGAAGGATTAATTGTCCTGAGATACAATGCACGGAGTGGTTTCTAGATTTTTAGTGCCTGAGCATGTAAGATTCTCTACACCAAACCCCCCCCCACTTCCCTCCTCCCACCACCAACATCCTGAGCTCTCTACGTGAGGGTGGGGTTGGGCTCAGAGGTTAAAGGTCGGATATTGGGGCTGCCCAGGCAGCACGTGACTAGAGCTGCTTACTGGAACAGCACAGTTCCCACGATCCAGGTGTGCCGATTGGGGTACACTCCCTCCGGGATGGAATCGAGATCCCGAGCTCGTGCCGAAAAAGACAAAGGCGGAGAGGCGGGTCTGGATGCTGACGGGGTTGCCTCTGGGAAAAAATCAGGCAAGAAGGTGACACTCTCCCTGGTGCTGGGATCGACTTGAGCTAGACTGAAGCTGGGCACTCCACGAATGGCCGAAGCCCCGAGTGCCGCGTTGGCGTCCTCCTTCGCAGAGTAAGACGTAGTATATATGAGAAAGCGTCTGCTTGGGTCCAAAGCCCCACGCGACCCGCTTGCGGCCACGCGCAATTCTCCGAGGAGCGGGAGGTGATGCCTAACTAAAGGCCACATTTCGATGGAGGGATTCACCGAGCAGGCGCTTCCCGACACTTTTTTGTTGTTAAATTTGCCCTTTGAGTGGCTAAATGATCACTGGCCAGCAAGCTGCGGCTGTTTCTGACTTGAACCCTGAGGTGCAGTGGAGGCACCTACGGACCGGACTGCGGTTATCAGCTCCATGCAGGAGCTGGGGAGACGCTACACTCAGAGAACAGCAGCACCAGAATCATGCAAAGCGCAGCCGGTTATTTCTCTCCGTTTTGAGAGCAGCCACCTGTTCCTTGTTAAACGTCGGAAGTGTATGCAGAAGTGTATGAAGAAGGCTCAGGTGGAGTTTCTAGGTCCTCCTACCTCCCTTCAGTGGTTGACCGGGTGCAAGGAGTTAGGAGTCGGCAGCAGCAGGGCCCTATTCTTTCTTGAGAAAAAAACATTGGCCTGAGTGGATCTGTCTCTGTGCCAAGAGGCATCGAAATGACTTGCATTTTCTAGATATACACAGAATACAAATGCTTACATGACCCATACTATTCCGCGTAAAACGCCCGGTCGAAGACATTTGCTCTGATATTGCCCATTTTCTTCTTATCATGTTATATTCCAGAAACCCCCGCAACTACTCCAAGATGACGTCAGATGGATGCTACTCAAGAATGCACCTGCCAATATTAGGTTGGTCCACTTGTATTTATTTCAAGTATTATTGCAAGTATTTGTTGAGGCCCCAACACAGCTGAGAATCTACACTAAATCTGGTGGTCAGAGAGAGAGAACATCGGTTCTCTTCTGATTTATTGGATGTGTGTATCTTATCCCACTAAAGTTGTCACCACGCTTGGTAATCTCTTTGCATTCTTCCCCTGACAGCATTCTTTGGACATTCCACACAGAAACAACCAAATTGCTCCAGAGGAACATCTTGTAAAGGAGTATTCCATTCAGATAATTTTGGTCTGCAAATTTCAGTAGATTATAATTGGCTGATGGACTTAACAGTGTGGGTCACCATGTTCTCCTCAGGCTGGCGTTCTCTATAGATAGTGACTTCCTCAGGTCACTGGCCGCACATAGTGATTCAAGTTTGTCCTTAGTATTTTAGGCAATGACCATTTCCCCAGTTGTCATACAGAACATATGTGACTCTCTTCACTCACCCAGACATTAGCTGTGACAGGTGACCCAACTCTGCAATTAGTTCCTAAGAGTTCTTCCAACAGGTGACTGGATATTATTACAGGCACGCTTTACCTTTGTGTTGTGGATATTCAAGACTCTGCTGTTGCCAGATTTCCCATCTCAAGTCTATCAATTCATTTGAATAATCAGCAAAATAGTCCCATCTCCTTTCGGGCTCTAAACTTGATTTAAAAGATTGACGTTTCTTAAAACTCAAATAGAGTTGGGCTGCAACTGCATGGCCAGAGGGACCTGAATCATACACACACTGGATAATGAAATACACTTAGATTTTATTAGCAGGTAATTTATGCTCAGAATCTGGAAACACTAATAGAATTAAATAAACAACTGGGAAAGAGAAGCAAATAAGTCAAGAGGGGAAATTATTTTGCTAACGTTAGAATGCAAAACAACTCAGTGTATTTAAAAAAAATTGAACTTGGCCATTGATTTGTTGAAAGAGGAGAGAAAGAGAGAGAGAGAGAGAGAGAGAGAGAGAACCAAATACTAGAACTATCGGAAGAGGGAAGAGGTCCAGAATATTTTAGCTGTAATAATAATTATCATCAGGGCAATAGGAGAAAGGTTGCGTGTGTGTGTGTGAGTGTGTGAGTGTGTGTGTGTGTGTGTGTGTGTGTGTGTAGCTTAATCCTAGCAACAACTTTCTACTTCATGCAAAATTCCAAAGTAAAAAAGACTGTCTCACAGAAGAGAGGGCAGTGGAAAAGAAGTCGCAGCAAGGGTTAAATAGAAATGCAGAGTCATATTTTGCATGTGAGTATGCAGCCACTACATTCTGCCTGTCAAGTACCACTTTTCTTTTCACAGAACCCAAACCATTGTGACTCCTTTGATTCTCATATCTCTGGAGGATTTTAGAAACAGAAAATGCAGCCACCCGAGCCCGCAACTCCCATGGCATGGCAGGGTAGAAGGGAGAGGACAGCCACAGTCTAGGACCTATGATGAACATCCCTAAAAAATTCTGCTTGAGCTTTAAACATCGCAAGTCTCCATGTCCTACTCTGTTTACCTTTTGGGATGCGAGACTCTTTAAAAACAAGAAGTAGTTTGATAGAATTTGTATCCCCCAGAGCCTCTTGCCAGGCCCAGCATTCAGGTGCTTGAAAATTGTAGAGAGATTTAAAAACAATAGAAATAAGGGCTAGTTCCTATGAGATCACTAGACAGCAAGGGAAATGGGACTCTAATCACAGAGGAAAACCCCAGAAAAATGAAGGCAAATAGTGCATTTGATCAGAACCTATTTTCTCCAGTATGTCCAGATTGGGTTAATTCCAGGGGTATGTGCATGCCCAGATAGAAAATGTTAATTTAGTTATATAGTAGTATCAACCAAAACGGGATTCTGTGTCTGAGAGACAGAGAAGGCTGTCACACAGCCAGAGCAAGGTAAAACATCTTTCCTGCCTCCTAGTCTGTGTCTGGTCCAGCAGGCAGCACCAGGAAGACTACACCTCCCAGCATGCCGCGTACAAATGTGGGCGGGCGTGAGTGCCTCCCTGACCTGAGCATACTTGGGAGTTGTAGTTTCTATGCTCAGCTTCGGCGACGTAACCTCTGCGTGGTGGTACTGAGACACCGTGAACGGAAAAAACCGCGGTTTCCCTTTGAGCCGGAACAAGATGACTACGGTAAAGACTCGAGCAGCAGACCGAACCAATTAGCGGCCGAGATCGAGCCGTTGGCGTTTGAAATCAGCCAATGATAGGCCTGCTCCGGAGCTTCCTCTCCGCCTCCTCCGCTAGCCTGGGAGTGCTCGGAGGGAAGCAGTGTGTTACTGGCCGGTGTGGAAACGTTGCTTTGGCGAATACAAGGTAGAGGTCCGAACAAGGGCGGGTGGAGCGGGGTTTGCCGCCTGTAGCCGGTGGGTGGGTGCACAGAGGGATCCTGTTGGCCTTCATTGTGTATTATTTGGGGGATCCGCGGGCAGGGAAGGAGGCCCGGCCGGGTAGAGCTCGGTGGGAGCCGGATGGCGCCTGGTCTAGAGTACGGCCGAGCCCGGCTCTGCGCAGGCGCAAACCCGGACGGGCCTCTCTTTCTCCGGTAAGGGACTCAGACTTAACGTTTGTTCTGCAGATGACGGGTTCGAACGAGTTCAATCTGAACCAGCCACCCGAGGATGGCATCTCCTCGGTCAAGTTCAGCCCCAACACCTCCCAGTTCCTCCTGGTCTCCTCCTGGGATACGTCTGTGCGCCTCTACGATGTGCCCGCCAACTCCATGCGACTCAAGTACCAGCACACTGGTGCTGTCCTGGACTGCGCCTTCTACGTAGGTGGACTCAGTTTCTGCTCCTGTCCCCCTACCGAGTTAGTATAGCATCCCATACACGATTTGGAGTGTTGGGGCAGTTCATAATGTTCTGGAATGCTTCTCTTTAGCCTGGTTTGAGCCTACTGCCACGGTTCATTTGTGTTTCGCCTTTCTTCGCAGTTTCAATCTTCCTTTTCAAGTTCAGACTTGGATGAACTTTCTAAACATAAGATAATTGTATTTGAAATTCTCAGCAATACTAATTTAGCAACTTATTAGAAGGAATGATTGAAAGGAGTGAATATCATCTAGTTAGCTGCTGGTGCCCCTCGTGATAAAGCTACACTTTGTT